GCTTACAACATATTTAAACAAGATGAACTTGAATAAACCAGCTGACAAAACAATTAACGAAGGTTTGAAAAATGTTCTATATTGATATGTGTTAATAATATTTCAGTTAGTTAAAGTGAATAATAAAACAATTATTGAACTTGGCTTTCGTAGTTATGATTTTAAAAATTATTCAGACCTCGGCAACGTATTCTGCCTCAGCTTTGCTTCTGCAGATAACATTGACCTTGGTCTGAATAATTTTTGATATCATGCTCAACCTCATCCAAACAATTGTTTATTATCTGGCTAGCCAGCAATCTTGTTCCTTCCAAAGAGAATGGTTGCACACCATATATAAACCGCGTTTACACTGCGGTCTCGTAACTTACCAAGGACTGACTAGGCCTCCAGTGTAAACACATCAAGCCTGACCTAGGACTCACCAAGGACCGACGTTTTAGCCCCATCATTGCACGTAGTCCTAGGAAAACTTACACAATTTAGAAGGCGCTAGAATCTCCCAACACTACAGTACATCCGGTCAAAAGGCCCGGTATACTATGTTTGATAATTTATATCGTTACATCTATCTCCTCATAAGGAATAAAACAAGGTTATAATTTGAAGGACCTAAGAGTAGTTTTCATAAAAATTGGTAATCAAATGTAGAACGTTCATTGTAATGTACGTCCTATAGAAGATTTTCTTTTGACTGAGGTGTCCGATGTGTCGGTTTCTAGTCGTGCCTAATTGGTTTCTATACTGACATTTGTGGACGTGTCTTGCGTAGAGAAATAGTCTAGTTTAGTTTACATATCAGTGGCTTAATTATCCTCTACCAATAGCAAAATAAATAAAACAACATTACAACACCGAATCAAAATTATAAATGTTGAAGAAAGATAATCACATTGCTAAAACAGTTTATCGTTGTCCTGGTGGTTAAAGTCATCTCCGAATCGTTAGGAATGAAATGAGTAATTTAGAGCAAAAATAGTCAGCGTCGCTCTCGTTGACAAAGCGCGCTAAAAAAAAAGCAATGATGCGCATGCGTATTAATTTTATATTGCAGTACCCAGCCATTGTACCCAGAATGCTCGCTCTGCAATCTTCAGAAACTTAGTGAATATCAGTGGGACTAGAGTTGAAGATTTTTGTCAGAACGTAACATCATGCAGCAGAGGAAAATATCTCAGTTTTAAAGAGGAATGATTTGTTAATCACTTTGAAAATTCAAGTTCTTTTTTAAACGTCTTGTAAAATTGTCGTGTTGCTTGCAAAGGCCAAGAGAATCGATACAATACTGGCATATTCAACTAATTCAAGTTAGATCATCGATTTCAGGTTCTCTAAAAGATCACGTTTTAAATAAGGCATGAACGTACAAACATAAATAAAAAGACATGTTGTAGACTAGTGAGAAATTAATCATTTTAAGAAATATACAACAAATGAAATTACTTCAACTAATATCATTATAATGTAGATATTTATAAATGCCACGTTTGTGTTTTTACGGTTCCTTTGAAAATAAAGCATGAATTAATTATCAATTTCAATAGCTTGCTGAAACCAAAAATAAGCACATCAACACAAGCTACTTTTTTGAAATGGATAATTTCGGTCAATTTATGAGGTAGAAGTTTATAGCTACATACCTTGATGGTGGCTATGTTTCAAGTGATGTTTAGTTTTTTAGTTCTCAAGTTTTAGTCCAGCTTTTCATCATCCTTATTTATGTCTATTTAAATTCGATGTTTTTGCCGTGAGTATAAACACAAAGAGATTGACAGCAGGATTACATAAGCATGCTGGAGATACGAACTGTAAATAAAACATTTTTCTCATTTTGAACCACGTTAAAAAAAAATGTCCTGTACATTCATTATTTTAAAGTAGAAGTTTCAAAAATTCATGTTGATAACGTTAACATGTACGTAATTGCATGTGTTGTTCGTTATGACACAACAATTTCCTTCAATGTACGTGCAAAGTTGATATTCACAATAAAGATGCTGTTTGAGATAATAGAGTTATATTTATATAATTTTTGTACTGGAGACAGCTGGGGGGAATTATTGCCAGTTTGGTTCAATATAGCTGCAACGTAAATTGTTTTAAGAGTGATCAACGGCGAAATACAGCTTGTAATCAATTTTACTGTATCAAAAGTAAGTACACAAAATATAGCCATATTTGTATCGAGTGCCACGTTTTAAAGGTTTCTTTGTAAGTCGTGTATGAATAAATTACTTAATTTAATTGAGTGCTGAGACAGAATGTGAAAATAAGAATACATATCACTTGTAGACAGGAAAACAGCTGGGTCGAGTTTTAGGCATAGAAATTTATATACTTTGTAAATTTGTTGTATTTTATACAACAAAATATCAAATAAGTAAACAACAGGATGTTTATTTAAATACAAATTCCAAACATATGATGCAATACTGTCAGTTTGAAATTGTAGACAAACTGTTGGGTCTGTTGTTCCTTATAAATAGTAAAATTGCTTTTCATACTAAAGAAAAAAGAAATCTTTTTGTGCAAGTTGATTTACATCAAGGTTTGACTATATACAATAAAATGGTGGCGCAAAATTTGTCTTTTAAACATTGCATAATCAAGCAGAACTTGTAATAATGCAAATTCATTGGACAAAACTTTGAGCATAAAATGGCTACTGCCTAAATCTCAAATAATTAAACTCTTTTATTATCAGCTGAAACAATCTTATTCTTTATAAATACTTAACATGAAATTACGTGCATGCATCATCGATAAATGGCAATAAATTATTAAAATACAGTTGACTCAAATACATAAATAGAGCTTTCATGATCTTGTCCTCACTTCAAGCTTGTGGATATCAATCACATATCACAAAATGGCAAAATTTGCTTTTGCGTTGGTCGGTGAGATAGTATGACGGCTGCCTTTATGTCAAAGAAATGTGATGTCAATAAATAACGAATTATTATTAGTTTAGGGCCTGTTCATATGAACCGGGCTGGCCGACTTTGCCGGGCCAGTTTATTATTTGATTCACATGACGCGGGCTAGCCCGACAAAGTACAGTAAAAATTATTTACGCACACCACATAAAAGTCCAAATCCCGATACTTTATGTTACTTTTAGAAGCTGAAAGAAACTCAATGATGTTATTTATTAGTCTATAGTCCACCGAAAGTTGTTCTTTTGCTTGCCCTATCTTTTGCATCGCATTGAATTTTATGAGCATGCGCAATAGTGCGATGCGATGCTTAACTCGGCATGCCGGTCTTGCCCACCTTGTGAATTCACATGAACCCATTTTATGCCGAGATCTTGCCTCGTTTAAGGGACATCCCGGCAAAACGGGCCAGCCGTCTCTCATATGAATCAAATTTGAAATTATATGTAAATACTAAAAGAGGTGAGATCTTGCTACTGCCGGGCTAGCCCGGTAAGGAGAGCCAGCCCGGCTCATATGAACAGGCTCTTATATACATACGCTTCAAGTTGTAAGCACCCAGCTTATAACTTATGTTTAGATTATGTGTATAACTTACATTTTCCATAATTACAAATTGTTTTTCTCTTGCAAATAAGTGTTTCATTAGCGTTACACGAGTTAATTCTATTCAAGTAAGTCTTGAATGCAATGAAACTTGGTATGTTTGTATGGCTACTATGTAAAAGAGAACATGCATGTTAACGTCTGATTGGATCTAGGTGCTCTTACATATTCAGTCATAACAAAGATATATAATGAAAGTTTTATTTCGACGAAACTTTTGTAATGGTTCAAAACTTATTATTACAAAAAAAACTTGTCCGTCGTGCACATGTGAAAGTGGTAGCCGGTTTTTCTGCAGACGTCGAATTATGCTAACATTGCACTTTATTTAAACAAACATACTTACGTATAGCTTGATCGAATTCATTTATAATTTATTTTGACTGTGGGCGCTGATCCAACCTTGCATCTCTATAATTACAAAACATCTGTCAACGTTACAATTATTTTTAACTCATTATTGAAGAATGGCACGCCATTGTTCGTCATCAACTGTTGAGGCTTGGTTAATGCTGATGATCAACATACTCAAATTCCTATTCTCAATTGACTGGTAACCTTCTTGATCTTCATTAGCCGACTGTTCAGGCTAAAAACTGAAATGGCTTACCACTATAAGGTTGTTAAAACGTCAGTTAACATCAACAACAATAGTCCTTCTCAGGACTCTACTAGCTTGGACGATCTACATCCACAAACATGTAACGATACTCTCGGGTTCAAACCATTTAATTTATTACGAATGATATTTGTTGGATTGCCTTTTATATCACTTTCAAATTATCGAGAAAACAAAACAGTGCTTGTTTTTTTACTGTTTTTAAATGCTATGCTGTATAACATAAACCATTGAACATAACTTTAATTTTGTAAACAGCAAGCTCAAATTTTTGATGATATGACCTAAAAAGTAATTTCCTCTGACGTATACGGCGCTCCACGCTGCTAAATCTCTAATCAGTTCAACAAGTGCATTAAAATAGCTAAGTGTTTCTTCAAAAAGAAAGTAGCTGATGTAAAATTTTCAAACTATGGCGATCCTACAACAACAAATATCAAGCACTACCCAAAACATTGTTATTTCTTAACATCAACTACATACTACGGAGGCCCAGAGATGCCAATACACAAACGCAAATTCAAATACACAAACGCAAATTCAAATACACAAACACAAAATCAATTACACTAACGCAAATTCACACACACAAACACAAATTATAATATGCAAAATTCATATCCGGTTAATTTGCTCGCCAAATGTGTTCTGAATTTACAAAGTTGCCGAAGTGCAGAATATTGTCATATTCTTATATTTTCGTTTTATTTCGAGAAAGTAAGATAAATGCAAAATATTCGTGAGGTATTTATTACATTTAGCGTTCATGTATATGTTCGTATTATCTTTTCCGGCTGTTGGTAATGTGAACTTGAACACCATGTTTTGTACAGTATGCAGGAGTTCACTAAATACAAGGGTAATTTTTGTGCTAACAGTGGGACGGATCTTCGAAAGTCTGACGAATCAAAGACCTTGCGGAACAGTGATCCATCAACATCAGCTGGGCCTTCTAATGACCTTGTGCCACCAAACTTTTGACTTTTAAAGAGTATTTGGCAGATATTTCATTTGCCACTGTTGAGACAAGGAAGCGTCAAGATTGTTGTCTCCACGAAAAAGGGGAAGAAGAATGAGACTGTCAAGGTTTGTGATTATTACTACCTCTGCAAATAGGTCATGTCAATAATTATTTGAAGGATGGGTGATGTTCGTGAATAATTATATTCAATGCTTGTTTTTATATAGATGTTAATTATGTAATTCCCACCTATGTAAGCTGAAATATAAAATGCTGCTATAATACTTTGTTGCATGCTTTAAAAATCAGGCTCAGGTTTTCACGGAGAAGGATGGAATAGTATTTCCATTAAAATGTCTAATTATTTTTTCATTATTTATCAAACATTTTGTGATGGCAGGTCATGAACACCTTGTAACTGGATATTTTTTCCACCCCAGATAAACATTGGAATTATTGAGCTGGATGGGAATTATTTGAAAACTAAGCGAGGCTCACTTTTTCCTACTGATGTAAAAAAATGTGATTCTCATGAGTCATGATGTCATAGAAACTGCTAGGGTGGAGAAGCAACAGGCTCACAATAAGCAACTCTGTGATGAAAGTTCCGAATGGGTTTTATTGTACCCTAATATGGAGTTTTATGTTTACCAGGCACAACAGAAACATTTTCTGTAGAAAAGTACAAGGACTACCTTGCAGGCCATGCAGTTATGTCAATTTGCATGTTAGCAAGACTTTGGATTATGAAAGTGAAGAGGTTTTCTATTAATTATTAAAACACTTTGTTAATGCGTAGGCAATTTATTAATGTTGATTAACACCTAATTATGAGCATTTAACAATCAAAGTAATTCTGTAAGCTCAAGTATATAATAATTTTTGCACCATTTAGTTAATTTTATGAAACTATCATGATACAAATAAAATTAAACACTTACTTTATAAGGAGCTAACTTTAAATATTACACATTAATACTGTAAAGGCAACATTCATTCTGATGTTATACTTGAGAATTCCAATATGAGTGCATAAGGAAATCATCAAAAGTGTGTTATGCAACAATCTTTTTTTAAATAAGTTACATTATTGATAAAAATACAAATATTTGTTTTGTAGTTGCTAATGAATTAGTTGATGATGTTGTGGAAGAGCAATTAGATTTGGAAGAAATGAGACTAACAAAGACTCAAAATGAATAATTGTGCACAGAATCACAGCTTGGAGAAGAATCACATTCCACAACTTTGGTTTGAATGTCATCTATTGATTATGCCACTTTAACACCACATGCACTAGAGAACCTCCAAAATTGTGATGCTTTTGAGATGAATACTTCCCAAGGTTTGTGAGTACTATATAGTCTACTTGTTCTTGTCAGTCTTGTTATGAAAAAGATGTTCTAGTTACATAGTATAGAAGAAAAGTACCACTAATTTGATGTTCAATTAATATTTCATGAAATGATGAGTGGGTATTGTGATGATGGTGCAAAATACCATTGGGAATTCATTCAAAGAAAGTGGATTAATCGAATTTGAAAATAGAACAGTCCAAAATGTTGTGGCTTTTTACCCATCTTTACTATATTAAGTGTTGTACATTGCAGGTGAAAGTTCTGAAGGGGCTACTTTTGTCCCAGAAAGTATGGCAAATGAGGTTATTGAGCGAGAAGTGTTGCTTATTCATCGTTGTAATGTGAAAGCAGACTTGCTGCACTATTTTGAAAAAGATGACATTTTAAAGAAGTGTGTGGATGTCCAGATGATTGATTCCAGAGGTGTCGAGGAAAAGGGCGAATTAGTCGGCGTTGTCAGGGATGCATTTTCTCTGTTTTGGAATGAAATAGTTTCATGTCTAGCGAGGATGAACGAGTCCCAGTGATTCGTCATGACGTTTCGCGGGAGAAGTGGCAAGCGATAGCTAGAAATCTTGTGATAGGTTACACTCAAGAACGCTATTTTCGAATCAAAATTTCTCGCGTTTTCTTGTGCTCCTGTCTTTTTAGCGAAGATTATGTCTGAGAAGATATGTACGTGAGTTCTTTTATGAAGTACATGTCGACCACTGAGTCTAGTGTGGTTGAAAATGTACTTTCTCATTCTCCTGCAGTTGATGATGAAGATGTACAGGATTTCATAACAGCGTTTGAGTGCAAAAAATCTAGCGTTTATACAGCGTTTGCCGTATAGCTTTTTCCCTAGGTGTTTTGCCGTATGGTTTTTTCCTCGGTGTTTGCGGTATATATGTTTTTCCCTCGGTGTTTTGCCGTATAGCTTTTTCTTCGGTGTTTGTGGTATATGTGTTTTTCCCTCGGTGTTTTGCCGTATATATGTTTTTCCTTCGGTGTTTTGCCGTATATATGTTTTTCCCTCGGTGTTTTGCCGTATATATGTTTTTCCTTCGGTGTTTTGCCGTATAGCTTTTTCCTCGGTGTTTGTGGTAGGCTCTTGCCGATTGTGCTAGTAAAAGTGGCATATTATGCTAGTGGCAGTGCTCGTTTTTTGCCCAAATTATGCTCAAACTATGCTCGCTTTTCAAAATTATGCTACTTTTTTAAAAAATTATTCTGTGCACAAACTTCACAACTCACAAGACAAGTTTGAAAATGCATTTTATTAACCCTGGCCAGACGCTCTGGGCTCGGTTTTCAAAACCTGGGTAACTTTATCGGTGGTTGGGCCTATACGGCGAATAAATCTGCTATCCAGCGGATAGTTATCCAGCGAACAAAAGTAGGTTGCACAAAGCCTGGATAGTGTGGTGGATAACTATCCGCGGATAGCTTGCTAGTAGCTAACCATCTCGTGTAGCAGAGCACGACACAGTTTGCGCAAAATTTTCACTCAAATGGCCTCCAGTTACCATGGTAAAGTATGCAAATTTCGCGTAAACAACGAACGGTGCGCGCGCTAGCAACAACGAACTGTGCGCGCTGGGTTTCAAAACAAATAAAAAACAAATACAGTGAAAACTTAACCATGCAGTTTTTGACAAAGCCCTGGATAACAAATTTAACATTGAATAATCTCGCTCGTTTCTGAACCACGCAGTCCGGCTTGACTTCTCTAATTCGTTCTCCAACAGTTAATTAGCGCTTGTTATATTGAAGCATCACACTTGCTTGCAAGTAATCTGCAAGTGCACGATCTTGTTGATCGTTGAATAAAGCTGCCAGGATGCTGAATACTCTCTCTGCGGCAGCAGACGATGGTTGGACCAACAGTATTTTCTTCACTGCCATGGACCAATTTGGGAGACGGTCTGCGTGGGCCTGCCACCACTCCACCTTCTTTTCCTCTTGTTCAATGACCACATCCTGAGCAGCAACGACGTACTGTGGAAGCTCTTTAATTAGGCCATTGATAGTTGCATCATTGTCGAGGAAAGGGAAAATTCTTAGGGCTTCTATTGTGGCGGGTGTAGGCCTCATCCATTGAGCGGCAACTGGACACATGATTCTTGCAGCTTTGAAGGCCGTGACTGTGTCATAGAGCTTCACATTAAACTTCTGCAAGAACCAAAGTATAGCCGGCTGTACACAAGCTTTTGCCTTCCGTTCTAGATCCGCGGCTCTCTGAGTAGCATCTTCGTTGGCAATTACGGCAGCAATTGCGCGTACATTAGGAAAGTGCGGAGCTTGGCATGCCTCGGCGACAGCCTTTAACTTCTCGTAGCATGAAAACACAAGGGCCCGTCACCTTCCAAGTAGTATGTAGCTTTGACAAAATGCTCTCCTACATCAATGGTCACAGCCAACTCGAGCTTAAGATCGACAAGGTGCTGAGGATCTGAGAGTATAGCTCGAAGCTGTGCCACAATCTTTGGAGCAATGTTCTCTACTTCCGCATCATTCAGGAATCCAGCAACGTCTCCAAACTGCTCCAGTAGCTGCCTGTAAACTTCCCATTTTGATCACCAGCGTGTTTCGCTATACGATTTCGGCTTTCGATCGTTTAGATCCTGCCATGCCAACTTTGCTTTATGGCTGTGACTGAAAAAGCGTACCCACAGGTTTCCAAAACCCCAAAAGCGTAGGAATTTCCAGATGTTTGCCAACATTATCGAGCGTGTGGGAAAAGCAGACAATGTTCAACATCTTTGGGAAGATGAATGCTATCCGATCCAATGCTGCTTGATTGACACTTGCTCCATCCCTCATCGCTGCAAGCAAAGAGTTTGCCTTGATCCCAAATTCAACGCAAAGGGCTTCGTTGAGAACTCTTGCTAGTTCTTCTGAATTCACCGACTTTGAGCAAATGTAAATTCTTATAAGACGCTGTGTTATCATCCACTCATCATTAATAAAGCGAAGGATTATCGCAATAGCCTCACCTTGCCTGGTGCTGCCGTCAAATATTACTGAAACGTCCCTTGTCATATCTTCTCCTGGCAAAGACAGTTCCTCTTTATTCACTCAACCTCTTGCTTGAAAATAAGAGAAACATACTGTCCGAGATGCGCACTATGAGTGAGGCGATACTCATTTTTCTCTAGCAAAGGACGTAGCCTGTCTACCTTCCCGATTGGAATCCCTGCTTTCAAAAATTCCTCCACTACTTCCTGTCGGTATGCTTGCTCAGCCAACGGCAGCGGGTTGTCTTTACGAGTCTTCTCTATGCTGAGTGCCTCGGCTATCGTTTGTTCTCTTAACCTTGATCTCTTCAGCGCATCTTTCCCTTTGGCATGTTTTCTTGAACTACAATGTGATGCTAAAATGCTCTTTTTGGATGATACCATTTCTCTGCAGGCATTGCAAAAGATCGTTGTGCCTCTGACACTCAGGTGCTGATCAGGGAACTGATTAACACGATCTTGCAAAGGGACATATTTCACATTAGTGACATTACTCGTCCCCCTCCTCTTGTATTTTCCAGTGGTGGATTCGAGGCGTCTATCCCGGGCAAGTTGTGCAGGCTTTGGTCTATCCTCTCTGTTCTCGCAACCTTGTAAACTATCTGGATGTAAGTTCACTGCACTTGACTGGTTTGGCGTGGCGGCCGGCATTTTGAAACGAGCACTGGGAGAAAGACTAAGGAGTCTGGGACCGAGACACAGACTTCCGGTTCCGTTTCATCGAACTCCCGCGGTATCTCAACACAAGTAAAAAAAAAATCGAAAAATAGGAGTGGAAGCAACTGTTAATAGTAATCTATCGTTTTTAGTAGCTGAGATCTTCGTTTTCTTGAATTATTCTAAAATTGTGCTATTAAGACAAGAAAATACACGGATTATGCTAGCAGTGCTACTTTTGGAAAAAGGGCAAAACTTATGCTCAATTCCTCAGATTATGCCAAAAGTTATGCTAGCACAATGGGCAAGAGCCTAGTTTGTGGTATATATATTTTTCCCTCGGAGTTTTGCCGTATATATGTTTTTCCCTCAGTGTTTTGACGTATATATATTTTTCCCTCGGTGTTTTGCCGTATATATGTTTTTCCCTCGGTGTTTTGCCGTATAGCTTTTTCCCTCGGTGTTTTGCCGTATAGCTTTTTCCTTCGGTGTTTAGCTGCATGAGGTATTATGTATTCCAGGTCGAAAATCACGCAAATATTTGTGTTTTTAGCAATCTTATAAAAATTTGCACAAAAGTTGCTTTTTTATCGGCCTCGAAATCATCCCGAAGGTCTGCTGTTTTTATATCACCTAAACTCTTCGATATTTCAGGTATTTTTCGTCCGTACGTATCAACAAGCTTATAATGAAACGAATGAAATTACGTTAGATAAGATTGAAAAAGTTATTGACGAAGCTGACAGGTAAATTTTATAACAATTGTCCTCTTATATCAATATTACGCAAGATAAATTTTTAAAATTCTTTTTTAGGTTTCTATGGGTACGTATGTCTTGACTGATTCACTGACGTAGTTCTCGTTTATTTAAGGTTCAGTTAAGTCAGTTAAGAGTTTACTGACATCATTTAGGTCAGTTTTAAGTATACCTAGGGCTTGTCAAGTTATAACTGATGGAATTAATACATAACTTTTTAAAGCAATTCTCTTTTTTATTACATTGCCTATTCGTGTACTCTTTTAGCCATTGTACGCAAGTGCTTACATATTGGCGTCAGTTTTGTCTTTCTGCGAATAAATGTTTTAATTTTACGTATGTTTTAAAAAAAATTCTGAAACAACATCATTCAGTTTTGTTTTTCCTCTTTTCTATAGATTGTCTCTTCTTTCTCATTTCTTTTGGGCAATGTTTTCAATTCTTCAAAGTTATAAATCCTCGATCAATTTTGGTTATCTCGTAAGTAGATGAACAGTTAAATAGTGTTGTTTACCGTTAGATTTACATCACGTGACTGAATTTGACTTTTACCTTGTTGTATTGTCGTACCGTGGTATTGTATCCTAAACACCATTTGCTATTTTTAAAATACCATATCTTATAAGGAACATTCTACATCGAACAATCTTAGAAATGTGCAATACCACTTCATCAACTTTTTGCATATAGTGTGCGTTATTTCTTTACAAATATTTGTGTAAATGCATGGTCTTTTGCACTAAGTTCTTTCCATGTGGATTTGTTTAGAACAGATGTTAGTCAGCAATAATGTCTTATGCGTGTGTATCAAACTTGTACACAATGAGCACTATCATTGTGAACAAACGTAAAAGCAACGTAACACTTTGCGAAGATTTCTTATAAGTTTACAAGAAGGATTTTGTG